TGGAAGAGTTCACCATTAAGGTGGCCAATATGTTCAAGGATATTCTGTAAATTCTATTAAATTAATAAATTTTTAATTTCAAAATTAAGTTTCTTGTTTATGAAATATTAATTTATGCATTATTTTAGTTTAATTTTTAAAAAATTCATACAATTATCAGAGCCAAATTATTAAATGTACTTTGTTTCAAATTGATCTGGGCATATAGTGCTGTACCATAAGATATAGCACTACAAATTACAGTACTTATTTACTTATTTATTTGTAACATTGCAAACATTAGTTGATACTGTACAAATTTTGTACAAAATTTTTTATACATTTAAAATTTAGTATTAATTTATTTTATTACAATTCTTTAAATAATTTAGACGTCTATTATAACCAAAATAAACTCATCAAGGATATGTTTTCAATTGTTGCGACATTAAATGATTTTACAAAATTTATACCTTGTTATATAATTACTACTTAAAAATTAAAATGACATATACATTTATGTTTGTAAAACAATTGTGAAAACATATTAAAAGGCAAAATTATGGAAAACCAGATTCAATCCGCAACTGTACACATTACACATTTTGAACTAGGTATAATATATTTTGTATTTACTTTCCAAGCACTATTCATAATGGTGGACATATTAACAATAAAAGTAATTCAATATTCAATTAAACTAAACACTTTCAAATTCAACAAACGATTCAACTTATTAATGTTAAATATGATCTACACCAATTTTATATTAAAACTAGCAGTTATACTATTTGTAATTATACAACCAATACTTTTTAATTACTTTTCACAAAACATACCTATGTTAATTGTTGCTTCAATAACCAATTTTTGTAACACTATTGCAATGTATGCCAACTCCACATCAATTACCATCATATCATGTGATCAATACTTTTCATTAACACAAGTATTTCCGGCTAATAACCCACTGAACAGACTGTCCACCAAAAGGCTATTGTATGGCATATGGACAACCAGTGCTGTATTGTCTATACCATCATTTTACACAAACATTATTTCATTTTTTGACTATAAAAATGTTAATGTAGTATGTATGATTTGTTATTACTATTTACCCGGGACATTTATTACCGCGAAATTTCAAATTATTAATTATTTTATTGGTCTCACTTTGGGGTTCATTATACCTGGACTTATATTTTTTGCATTTACACTAAATATAATCAAGATATTTTGTAAAAACTACTCCAACCAAGATTATCATATTGAACATTTTAATTTATCGCATATTGTTAAACTTGTCAAGTCATGCAGGTATCGTATACATGGTATATTTGTTTTACACCGTAAATACGCAAAATGTTTGCACTGTTGTGAATGGGAAAAGTGTTATTTTCTACTTTGCATTTATATTTATCTCGCAATTGCATCCGATTATAAATTTTTGGTTGAGTTCATATTTTAGACGATTAATGCGACAATATTTAATGACATTCCCATACATTAAACATATTTTAAATCGTTATTATATGTGAAAATTAATTGATTTCCAAACTATAAACAAATTAGGGTGGTAACAATACCAATAATTATTAATTAAGAAATCTGGGTTAAAAATAAATATTACAATTTGATACTCCTTAGATCGAGATAATATAGTGATTGAAGCATATTACTTTATAGCTAATTCATTTATGTCAAAATTAAATCATTACAATTAATACTCTAAATGAAATATTATAACTACTATATATTTAAAGTTAATAATTTTTGCTTTTATCTTAAATAGCATTACTTATTATAAATTAATTACTATTACTATTATATTATTATATTATATTATTATATATATATATTAATTTTAGTTTAAAAGTTACTTTAATACCTCATGCATATACCACTGCAGATAAGCTTAACGTTATGGGGTTATACATTATATAGACTTAATTTTAAATAAAATTTATTCTAGTGAATAATCATTAAATAATAAATATTCAAAATAGGGTACTTTTTCTAAAGTAAAAATAGAAATGATAATTGTGTTTTTAAATCTACTGATAATCTATATCAAATAAATAATATGCCACACATTTTTTGTTTTTTAATGCTATAGACATCACTGTATTTATTAGTATTTGCAGGATCAATTAGTTGTAGGCTTTATACAATTAGTAGAAACAACTAGAATATGAAATTTGTAAATTAAGATTTATTCAATTAAAACTTTTTTGAATAAAATAATTGTAATTTAAATATTCAAAAACTCCTCAAAAACGACGTTAAGAGCGCCGACATTAAAGCCGAGCCCTCCATCGACCACAAGATTAGCGCCGGTTATAAACTGGGCGTCACTGGAGGCCAGAAATACCGCAGCTTTGGCCACATCTAAGGGTTGTCCGATCGCCCGGAGCGGAGTCACTGCTCGTGTCTTATCCCATATCGGGTGTAACTTTTCCGTCACTTGTATACCACCCGGACTTCAAAACAAAACAATTTTTGTTATAATAATATATTTTTTGTATTATTTTATAAAATACTAATCACTTAATAGCGTTGACTCGAATGCCTTTGGGTCCCAACTCGAGGGCCAGCACTCGGGTTAACATATCTAACCCGGCTTTTGCCGGTCCGTACACCAGGTTTTGGGGCATCTGTTCACACATT